GTTGGGAGAGGTCTCATTTTAATCAGAAATGTGCGGGCTACAATCATGTCTCATTAACAAACGTTCGGGTTATTTTTTGGAGTTTCTGAAAAACTGGTTTTCTAGAAAACCAGATCTTCGAAGGCCTAGCAGCAAAAACCATTGTCATATTCGGAATCAGCATAGTCGATAACCTATTCTCCACTAGATTTCAACAAAAAAGCGAGCGGACATTTGGGGCAGTTCCCTCGTCAGTCTTTTATCCTGGTTCTGAATCTGATATTTTAGTTGCTCAAAAGTTGAGTTCTGATGGAGAAAATTGAAAATTACTAGCAGAATTTCAGCATTTTCGTCTGCGATTTAGCAAAAACAAATTTTCTAGCACAGGAAAATAATATCAAAAGAACCAAAGCATTGGTTTTTTGAGTGATGAAACTTTTTCGACTGGAGCAAAGTTCGGGACGTTATGCGGTTGAAAACGTATATTTCGTTTTTCTCGTGAACGAGAAGAGATGAAACCGTGATTTTTTTCAGCCATCCGTCGATCGACTGTAGTTGGGTGAAAAAGCATTACGGACAGCCGGGAGATATCTTACTTTTCTCAAAATTCTTTGCTGTATCATGCTATGTGATTTCGAAAAGTTTGTGACCAAAAACCCAAGAGTTAATTTTCTAGCCTTCATGTTTTCCACAAACCCTGCTATCATGTTTCCTCATAAAATGACGGTATGCACCTCATCTCATAGAAAAATCTTCGGGCTATTCAAAACAGTATTCAGATTGGTTCCAGCTTTTGCTGAAAAATCAAAAACAAGGGAGTTCTGATTATGACACACTGTGCTACATATATAGCACCCAAACGCTTCTTTTGCGTAGCTTTAATGACTGACCCCATCTGTCTAGATATTCTGACCAGCTGAGTTTGTAGAGAATTTCACGGGCTACTGCTGTACGTCTACTGCAAGTACTTATGTTCAGGATAGCGAGATCGATCGCTCACAAAAGTGCTCCATGAAGCTCCCTTTCGGTCTTGCTGTAATGAATGTATGGAGTGAGAGGTATACGTAATATTTGTATGTCATTTTATGGTAGACATCAAGTACTACCTATCCTGAAAAAATCACGATTTCATCTCTTCTCGTTCAGGAGAAAAGCGAAATATACGTTTTTCAAACGCATAACTTCTCGAACTTTACTTCAGTCGAAAAAACTTCGTATTTACGAACAATGTGCAATAGCTCGTAGGTTGAGCATAACTAAGAGTTTATGTAGCAAGAATTTAAACTTATATTAAAACATAAATTTTCGACTATGTATGTGGCCATTATCAAGTACGCATTTTAAAGAAAGTTATTTAAACTAATAATTGAGCAGTGCTACTTATGTAAGGCGCGTCTAATGTGTTTGCATGGTCGATTACCTATTGTCCACTAGATGTCGAAAAAAAAGCGATTTCACACTTGATGTCCTTTCTTCGTCAGCTCGACGAGCTCTCCTGATTGGTTAACTCAGATTTTAATTTGGGAGTGTTCATGGATGTTTGTGGGTGTTCTCACCTTTTAGTAATACCCAATAACATATGATAACCATATGTCATATAAAGAACCAAGAAAATTTTAAGTTTTCTACGAGTGATAGATATTAAAAAAAACAGATAGAAGGAGAAACTTTTTCAATTTCAATCATGAAAATCTGTTCTTTCTGATGCCAGTGTGGTCTTTTACTTAAGGTAACGAAAATCGCAGAGAGCTCGGAAAGGTCTCAAATGGAAGCTGACACATGTGGCTGAACGATAATAGAGTCCGATTTTTGATATTCAGTCTAGATTTGTAGTTAGAAAAATATCTTTATGCAAGTTAATGAGACTTTTTCCAATCTTCCAATTTTGATGCTGATCATTAATTTGAAAAGTAAAATATCAAAAACTCGACTCTATTGGTTACTAGTCGCATGTGTTTCTTTTTTTGCAGTTACCAATAGTCCTATTTTGGTCATTATTGTGGCGACATCTTACAAACCATGCGTGATGGAGCCCAACAAAAAGTTTCATCATACTGATCATACGTTCTTATGATCAACATCTGCTTAAATTTTGGTCAAGATCAGACTTATATAGGCTATTCCATTTATTTTGAAACGATTTGCAGGGGCTTTTTCTTCATTAATGACTTACACAAAGATCTCAAGATGATTATATCAGTCTACTGCACTAACACCGCAGATGTTGTCATATTATTTATATTTTAAGTAAATGAATGCTTCGTGATAAAATATCTGATAATACCGAAGGGATCGTCATATATCTTTTGACCGCAAAATAGTCATAGTCTGTGGTACAAGAAGAATTATCTGAAATGAATCTATGTGTATCGAAAAGTACCATTAGTTGTATCGCTAACATTGTTGAAAATAGTACTAATTGGATTTAGTAAAAAATCAAACCTCCAAGATTTTATCGTCAACGTCATACAATAACATCTGCGATTGTTCGCCGTATTATAGCATATACAATAAAGCAAATCCTTCGGCTATTTCATTAATGGCTACAAGATGTAATATCAGTGCTGGTACGATTTTTCGTGTTATTCATGATATTATCCAAGCAGAATGCCATACGAAAAGATCAGTACATCGTTTACATCCAGCTGTCACTGGAAAGAGACGATCTACGTATAATAGGGCGAACAATCGCAGATGTTGCTGTATGACGTCGGCGATAAAATTTTGGGGATTTGATTTGTGATTAAATCCAATTGGCACTATTTCACATTGTTTAACAATCTGAAATAGTTGAATGCTAACTAATGGTATTTTCTGATACACATAGATTCATTTCAGATAATTCTTGTTGTACCCCAGACTATGACTATTTTGCCGTCAAAAGATATATGACGGTCCTTAACCTTATCCGCTCATATCTAGAAAACTCTTTCCTATAGGAACAAATAACCGGCGAAGATGAAATCTATGTTGAAAACAGTGCTGGACAAGTCACGGGCTTATAGAGAATTGTGTGATAGTAAGTGGCGATTGTTGAAATTCGGACTCTTTAGTTTGGTCATACATTTCAAATAAGATGAACTAGAAAATTAGATTGCATAAGGGGTTTAAAAATAGGAAGTGGCTATACTCATGTACACATAGCCAACTGGCTATGTGCACTCAGATACATATAATGAATTAATTAATAAATATTCAGTTATTATCTTATATACCCTGAATTATTATTATAAATAAAATTCTTTAAGTTTTAGTACTTTTACTTTATTAATTCTTGATTAAATTCAAATAAAGTATAAATCAAGTATTATAACTACACAAGTACAAAAAAATTAATCTAAATAAAGATCAACTAATTTAGAAGTCTTTCTGGTGCTTCCTCTCTTTGGCTTTGAAGGAAATGGTTGGATTTCATTATTTTCAATACATTTAACATAATGACTACGTAAAGATATTTGATCATAAAACAGTAAAGATGGAGCATCTTTATAACACAGAGAAGTAGCAAAAGCCAACGCAAATAATCCACAATCATTACCACCGATTTGGTGTTGAACATTTTCAAATGAAATCAAAACTTTTTCTTCATTAGGTAAGATATTTTTAAAAAATTTAATTAATGATTATTTTGAATAACTTCACGAATTATAAACTTTCCAAATATTATTACAATCTAAATTTGAAATTGTTAGCCAGTGATTACTATTTGCATTAAAAATAAAAATCGAATTCTACAATGAACCAGTGTATAATTTAATTTGTACAGGATCACACATTCCATTAATATTTCGAGATTGTTTATGTAATAATTCAAAAAATAAATATATATAAAAACCAGTTAACCACGTTGTATTATCACAAACATCGCGAATCGAATCTAATTTTTTATTCCGTTTAAAATTATATCTTTTTAAATCTGGTGAAGTTTGTTTATAAGTTCTTTTTTTATTTACTTTATCTTGATTGTTCTTTTTAACTTTTTCCTTATAAGCCACTAATGAAGCCTTGCCACGTGGTAATCTGCCTCGAAGCTTATTTACTGATGGATTTTTTTGAGCTGTAACTTGAGTAACTAAAAATTGCGAATCATAACTTTGTATATCATCCATTTCATTTAAATAATAATTAACTGGATTTTTTAACCATCGCTTGTGACGTGAAATAATTTATTGTGTTGCATATGTTTCATCATACGTATCATCTTTAATTTTATTAAGCAAGACTATCATATGACGATATGGTAACGAATTTTGTAAATAAAACTGACAATCACAAAATAATAAGTCAAGAAGCCATCCCGCGATTCTGCTATGAACTCACAAGAAAGCGATTTCCTGCAAGATTCTTGTGATAAAAATACATGTAAAATATTTTACAAGTTTCTTGCCTGAAATGCCAAGAAACAAGAATCTTTCAAGAATACCCACAAGAACGTCGACTAGTGTTGATTTAGTTTCTACCTAAACAAACTCTTTTCTTTCTATGCGTGTGCCTCGACTTCTATATATTATTGTCTGGCTCATTTTTCGTATCAGATTCTTTATTCGCCATCACAATATGTTGACCGTGTTTCTCCATACACCCATAATGATTTGGCATATCTCTCTTTTGACGATATAGGAAACACATTCAAATGTTTTCTCTTTCAAAATATCTCTACTTTACTAGCAGACCTAGAACACTTTTTCACTACTTTGTATATATGAAATTGTAGCGCGGAAAATTCTCTATCGAATGGTATATGTATCGTGTGGCTAGTGGACAAGTGTGGACCACAGGATCGGCATCGTGGAACAAAGAAGAGTAGAACTTTGGTTACAGTAAATTCGACCTAGTTTTTTCTGAGAGCAACTCTAAGGTCTGCCGAGTGGCTAGAAATGTTCTCCTGTTCATTCTACATCTAACCGTGTATGTGTCGATGGAATTCAAGCAGGGACCGATTCCATCAAATAATCGCCCCGTCCTTCTGTAGAATATTAGAAAAAAGGCTAAAAATGTAACTCTGACACGACATCTGTTTTGCTCATAAAAACCGTTCTACCTAACCGATTCATTGTAGATTTTTATCACAGACCAAGCATTCTACCGCCCATCTTTGATAAAAATGTCGTCACCTTTTGTTCAGTAGAGACACAGAAATAGTGCTCAAAATTTAAAATATAATTCCGTCACGCGCGTATAGGTTTTTATGAGCGCAAGCGAAACTGTGTATGAATTTAAAAGCATTTCTTAGTTAAAACTAAGCTGCCAGTTGTACTTTTCTCAATATTATCGCTTATAAATGGTTGTGGCATGATGGCATGAGTGAAAACTTCTCTTGTTACAAGTTGAAACAAGTTGAAAAAAACGAGTGTAACCATATAATCCATTTTTTGTCTTTTCTTTTCATATATATGGGAGCTGGACGCTCTGATGTCAATACAGGCACATATAAAGACTCGATTGTCTCTCGACAAGAATCTTATGAGATCTGAAAGAATTTTTACAAACATTTATGTGTTGTATTGCACTACATTATGTAACTTATATATAACACGGGAATTGACAAAACAAATTGGTGATTTTGTCATCAACGACTCTTGAGAGATTAAGGGCCTGATGAATAAAATGAATGAGGAATTCACGCTATGGACGTCCAGATATCCTCAGAAGTCATTATTCGCGCAGTTTATTATTCACAACTGCGATGCAAAGCCATATAAAAACAAAAGCAACTGTGTACACATACAGAAAATGTAATTCAGTCTACAGAAAGTATTACATAAACAAGAAACCACACTGTTATAAATAGGGATGCACCAATTACAGTTAATTGTAAAATTGTAACTATCATAATTGTTAAAAAAATAGTTCAGAATGAGTTAATGTTGTACGATTAGCATAGGTTTCAAAACAAAAGACATATATATAGTTTTTCTATCATTTGTAGCTGTTAGTTACTTCTTGAAGGTAATTACTTCTGTTGCATTTTGTACTATTTTGCTAACAATTATGATAGTTACAGTTATACAGTTCTAACACTTACAGTTTACCGTCAAAAAACTGTAACTGATGCGTACTCAGTTATACAAGAAATAAAAACAATACTTTTTTGGTTGGAGTTCAACGTACTGTAGCGGAGCACTGGGATTGGAGATATTTTCTAGTACTGAAAGACGAAACGTTTGATTGGTGGAACACATGGTGCTGGTAACAATGCGATGCGCTGAGGTGAAGAGTACACTAGAAGTTGTGGCGAGCTTAAGGATGTTGCTGATGATGTAAATTGCGGTGATAGAATATTTGTAGTGTTTTCTAGTGGCTGATCCTTTCTTGTTGTAGAATAGATTGTGATAGTGGGAGTTTCAGCGATTGCTTTCGCTTCGTATAATTTATATGCTGTTTTATCGCGTCGTCCGGAAGTTTTTGGCTCCCATCGACCATCCTCGTCTTCACTGTTTTTTCGTTTTCTATCATGACAAGCGTTAGTTTTCTTCTCATTTTCGTTCAACGAGATACCAAAATACATTTTCACTGCAACAATCGAAAACACACACCATTGTGGAAAGTGACACGGTACACTAGATAACCCAGAGATAATTCTCGATTTAAATTCTTTACTGAACGAAATGCATTTAGAGATAAATAGAGAGACTACTTACATGTGAACACTACTTCGATATGTTGGGACAGGAACAGTTATATTGACGACTTGTACAGCGCATATGAACAACGTGAGCACTTGTATCATCTAACGATCTGACGATAAACACTTTTGATTCTCCATCGAATTTCATTCGATTAACAACTTCGCTGTTGTTGCCACAGTTAACGATGTTTGTACAATGGGTGAGTACGGCGTCGTTATCGTGGGTGCGTCGATCATTTCAGATAACGAAGCTTGATTATATATAAAAAAATTGTTAACAATCTTGTGTACCTCCAGATCTAATTGTGACCACCATTTTAAATCGATCTCCTGAATCAGATTTTTACTTGTATTAACTTCGTCGTCGTTGGTTCCTCCCAATTAAAAAGGACAGAAAGTTTCACCGGTATCTTTTCCCATTTTCTCCTACATCAACGGCTGAAACGAAAGGAAAGCAATAGCTATTCGAATTATAAGCACTGAACCTTAAGAAATAGTCGTTATAGACAGTACACTGATGAGGTGAGAAGCAACAACAATGACGCACCACTAGGAAACAACACTACATATTGGCTTCTAGTATTCATCAATGAACGTCAACCACTCTAGCAGTAAAGATACGTTTTTTTCATCGTTTTTACACGATTTTGTTGAAAGAAGTAACCGAAACGACTTTAATGGCTTTCATTCTATTATTTACAAAATTATTCCAATAGAAGAGATCATAATGTCGGGGTTCTATAGCTATGCAAGTTACAAAGTTCTATGTATCTATACACATTTTTTTTGTAAACTGGAAAGAAAAAAAACTTTACTGCATAATATAAAAATATTAGAAAGCGTTTGCTTTTAGTTACTCTATATACTAAAGGAGACAGAGGATTCGTAGATTAGAAGAAGGGTTAGGCATATCAAATAGTCACCGTTCGCATGAACTGAAACTGGTAAACCGTTCCTCGTTCCAAGAAACAGGAAGTATTATACCATTCCTAGTTCAGAAACGGAACTAAAAAGCAGTTCCCGTTCAATAAACGCGAACTGCAAAACCAGTTCCTGTTATCGAGAAATTGCAATTCAGTAAACTAAGAACTGTCACAGACCTAGTCTTGAAACAATGTATGTACAACCATTTTCAAGTAATCCTCGACTGAAAAAAATTTTCAGCTACTACTGTTGTTTTGGGCTACGTATATTTTCAAAATTATGACACAAATATCATAGAACCCAAAGGATTTTTCAGAAGTTCAAAAGTAACTTGATATGTCTCGATATACTTGATGTTTCTTCTATGTTCGTGTTTAGGTGGTGACAAAGATTGTTATCATTCATTTGAAATTGATTATACGCTGATTTTAAAGGATATATTTCAACTTCATGCAATTATCATCGGGAAAAGATCACCACAAGGTGTTATCGGCTATTCGTCCGCTGATTCAACCTAATCATCGGATTTATGTTAGTGCAATTTGTCGATGAAACCGTCCTTAAACATTTTAGTGGTCTTTTAGAAATACAAACATGAACCGTTGTTTGTACGGCCTTCACTTTTCCTATCTCCATAATTAGAGCTACTCTCCCTTTTATAAGAAAAATATATTTGATCTAAAATTCAAAATGTTTTATGTTTACAATGTACTACATAAAAGAAGACTTAAACAAGTGGAACTTAGAAGAGTTAGAGACGCTCTTTCAGAAAATCTCAGAAATTATCTTTACACGATGAATTCTTGTTGCGATTCTTCTAAAATAATACAACTTAATGGAAATTTTTATATGAGCAAGCATATCCGTCTTTATGCTCAGCAGTTCTCACCTCATAGTCTTCACAGAAAGCCTTTGCAAAGTTGGACAGATCGAACTAATGACAAAACGGCGTGACCAGCTAACTCTGCTACCGTAAAGGAATTCTGTAACGTTTTTTATCATTTTGCTTTGTTTATAAATCGAACAACCAAACGAGGCAGACAGCTGTGACACGTCTCAAATTGAAGAAAAAACTGCTATGGACATTTTAAAACGCGTATAAGCTCTGTAACATGTCTCGTCTCAAAGATCTGATAGAAATATTGGAAACTGCTTTTCGCTCATTTACACTCTGTAGAATCGAAAGTAATTGCCAATATGTCTGTCAGATCCTTTAAAAGAGTCAGGTTATGGAGCTGAGGCGCTTTTTAAAATGTACATTGCAATTTTTCTTCAACTGAAGGCAGGATTAGCCAGCCCATCGAGAAAGTGCGTATAATGTGCCTTTGAAGTTATTTAGAGAAAAAACACTTTCGACAATTTTTTATATTTTCATTTTCAAAGTCAGGCGAATTTTTACTAGAAAACATTTTTGTCTCTAAATAACTTCAGAGGCACATTATATGATGCAGTTTTTGACGCTATCCCGAATATTACCATATTTTTGTTTTTGAATGAAGTCTTGATGCAACAACTCTCAAAAAACTGAAAAAACGATATCTGTCAGCCGTCTAGTTTTCAAACTATTTCAGGGGTTTTAAAACAAAGCTTTTTGGCTCAGTTTGTAGAAAATTGAATTTTCTATCTAATGTCATCTTCATATTTCTAGGGAAATTCTGTTTGGATGCCCAAAAGTAGGTTTCGATAGAAACAATTTGTATGTGAAAATCATAATTCTTCATTTGATGAACCTCTTACAAAACCAGTATTGAGTTTAGAAAAGAGAAGGCACACGATTTTGCTTAGCTTTTGATGATCTTTCGAATGAGACATTGCTCGACCAGAACGGACAAAAAATGACGGACTTATATCGAAAATATGAGACACTGCACATTTTTGCGATTCTTCGATGCTTATTTTTGAAAAGTCGCCTGTTTCGCAAAATACTCGCTTTCCTCGCGAATCGCCTCTTAAGAAGTGTCGCAGCTGTCTGCGTCGTTTGGTTTACGAGTTATAAACAAAACAAAATGATGAAAGAACGTTACAGAATTCCTTCACGGTAGCAGAGCTGCCTAGCCACGTCGAAAATCAATTAGGACAAACGTTTTTGATACCAGTTCAGTCCAAATTATCTCCATTACATCGTTTATCTCAATATCTGATAGAACTAACAAAATCAAGAATAAAAACTCCCATTATAACATTCTCAAACTTAAACTATCAGAACACAAAGTCGATCCCACCACGAAGCTAGGATCGAATACACGAACTTGATCTTTGCAGACGAACTGCAAAAATCAACTTCGCTGCTCTTTCCTATATTATGCACAATGATTGAAGTTGTGCAATGACTTGATGTTATCTTTCAAAATATACTTAGGGCTGACCAAAAGTTCGTAGAACGATGCTTAAATTTTTATAAAATACTTATCATCGAAAGATTTATTGCAGGAATACTTAGTAAAATGTCTCGTCTATAATTCTAACAGTCTTTTAGATAAAGTCTATAGCACAGTGAATATGCGAACATTCCTTATCCAGGATTTGAGTATATTTCTGAATTTCGAAAGAACAGGACCATTTGATTTAAAGAATAAACAAAACAATGTTTTGGGGTCAGATCGATTTCGACAATGGTCCTTGGTGGTTCATTTTCGCTAATCTATGTAGCATTACTTGACTTTCGACCAATCTGTCTATGATAAATCCATGTCTCATCACCAGTAATGACATCAGATAATCTCCATTTCCCAGTCTGAAATTTTGTTAGATTTTGACGACAAACTCTAAGTCGTTGTTGCTTTTGTTCATCACTGAGTTTGTGAACAACCCAACGTGATGTAACTTTTCTCATCTTTAAACAGTCATGAATGATCCGTTCTATTGTACCATGGGAGAGGGAAGTCTCGGCTATGATATAATCATAGATTGAATGCGGATCATCTTCGATAACTTGTCGAACTTGTTCGATATTTTCATCTGTAAGTACTGAAATCGAACAACCAGATCGCAAATTGTCTGTGCATGTGTTTCTAGAATTGTCGGAATTTTAATATAATATCGATTAAATTCATCGGTCATTTTAATGATTCAAAAAAAATTCAAATCAGGTTTCGCCACAGGTTTAGGATGACTTTGATATTTGATACAAAATATCGATCGGAAATGCTAATTTATTCACACGAAAAAAGTAAGCGAATCGAATGAACTAACTCCATAAATGATTTTGCACTCAATATATACTGTTACATGTAATATTTAAGTGCATATGACGTCAGAAAATATCATATGAGGGAGGAAAGAAAAAATGCGAAATTCAGAAATATACTCGAATTCTGGACAAGGAATGTTCGCATATTCACTGTGCTATAGACTTTATCTAAAAGACTGTTAGAATTTATAGACGAGATATTTTACTAAGTATTCCTGCAATAAATCTTTCGATGTCAAGTATTATATAAAAAGTTAAACATCGTTCTACGAACTTTTGGTCAGCCCTAAGTATTTATTTTAAGGTGCACGGTATCCAAACTTCAAGTGGAAATTTTTATTGATATGTATTTTGCAAGTTTAGTTGATTTTCAATTAGAGTGAAAATGTCGGTAAATTTTCAACGTGAAAATTCGAAAAAAGTCAAAAAAGCTAGACAGGATAGAAATACATATCAGTCGACTCAGGGCCGGCGCGAGCAAAATTATGATACTGGGCGAAAATGTATTTTTGCGCCCTCACCCCTTCCAGAAAAAGAAACAAAAAATAACTTTATTGCACAATTATATTACAAAACATTACACATAGAATACATAGAAATAAGGATTTGTTTTGTTTAAGCAAAATTTTTATAAAGAATTAAAAATTGACTTTTCTCGCTTTAGCAGCAGGAAATAAATTAATACATGTAGTTAAATCAATATTTTTGATTGTGTCGTGTTCTATTGATAGAATTGCAAGGGATTTTAATCTTTCTGGTGGCATATTGGAGCGTAAATAGTTTTTTATTAGTTTTAATTTACTAAAAGAACGTTCTCCACTCGCAACGGTCACTGGGATTGTTAATAAAATCCTCATGCTAATCCATATATTGGGGAATATGTCTTGCAAGTTCTGATTATGTATGAACTGCAGAACATGTCTCGGAGATATTCCGGTGGCATCTGATGGCTCAAAATACTTTTCAATGTGCAACAATTTGTCACAAAGTTCTTGTCAATAGAACACGAATGTGCCATGAGACTGAAAAAGTCGAAGCAAGATATAGATGTTAATCACATGATGGTGGCAGCATCAACATTAACTTCAACAACAGTGGACAGTTCTAGAAACAGACTAATTTTTCCATTTTCCGTTTTTGTAGTTTCCTTTTTTTTCAAATTGCTCGGTGATCAATTTTTTGTAAGGGGGAGGTGTTATGGCACATATTAAAGACGTGCCATAAGAGACAATTGTATAATAGTCATATATATATTCGTTCTCTATTCTTCTGCTATGGGTATTTTCTCTTCCTGTCATATATGTATCTGTATTGTTCTCTTTCTTTCTGTCAGGAAATTTCCCAGTAATATCTCTTGGTTTCGTTCTGTACTGTTTCTTTTCTCCAAGAGATATTTCAATGTATTCTTTTAGCTCTGGGTTATAACCCACCGTTTCCGTTTAACCTCAGGTATAAATAGCTCCTAATTTTATGTAAAGATCATCTTGTTCAGTACTAATTTCTTATACACAACAACGTATACCGGACATAACAATTTCCACATTCTTCAATTGCATCTTCTAAATTCTTAGTAAAAAATGAGGTCATAAATTTTGCGGACGATTCATTTTCTTTCATTGGAACAAACTTCCGTTTTCTGTTTTTCGCTTCTGATAGTTTCTTCGACATTCTATGGGTGAAAATAATAATATTATATATTATATAATATAATATAATAAAAAATACTGCATATAATAAACAAATAATATAATAAAAAAATGTACATAGCTAAACAAAGAGAAATACATAAGACCAGATGAAGAATTTCAAATGAGTGCTGTGGCTATTGGTTGTCCACATGCACCACTCCGTTCATCTTCGAGTTTTTTGGAAAACTTGTCAAGTAAGCATGTCTGTTTTGTTTATAGGCTTAGCTACTCGTTCTTTTCTTCCAAAGCTATAGACAGAAACAAATGTAAATATTATTGTGTAGACCATTACAAATATACTCTGGAATCGAATACATCACAAATTTATCTGTTACACAAGCAGTTGAACTTGTTTATCAGTGTCTGCTATATAAACATGAGCTGTGATTTCATTTATAAATACGGACATGCAAGCAATCGGCGAACACGTGAACGATTTGTGACACCTGATGCAATTTTTAAACAAGGATTTATTCATTTGTTTGATCATCTTATCTATGAACGTGGATTGCTTATATCATTCACAAATGTTGTTAATGAAGCGCCATCGAATTTTCAATCGTACACGAAAGCAACTAACGTAAACATCGATCAAAATCGAAATTTTAATAAGGGAGCTTCTATCAACAGTAAACTCTGTTCAAAATACCTTGCAACAGTACGTAAATGTTAATGAATAGTTTTTTATTTCTCATTTTCTACCACTTCTTTTGCAGACATGGGTATGGTTTGAAATCTGTCGATTTCTGTTTTTCATGACAAATTCTGAAAATATTCAAATTCCCGATATTATTCAGCGGTTATCACATGATCTGTACTATGAAGCCAACAGTAAATTTTTTTATGAAATTTTCATAAAATTCTGGTCCCGTCATGGACAAGTTTAAGGCTGCCAGTGTCAAGCAAAAGATTAATGTATGCCCAATTTTGTCTTCGACACACATATGAAAGCACACAATCTAGTATGTGCATACACTGCATCATGTGACGAGTCTATATCGGATGTGAGTGCTGTGGCTATTGGTTGTCCACGTGCACGGCTCCGTTCATCTTCGAGTTTTTTTGAAAAACTTGTCAAGTAAGCATGTCTGTTTTGTTTATAGGCTCATCTACTCGTTCTTTTCTGCTCTGGAATCGAATACATCACAAATTTATCTGTTACACAAGCAGTTGAACTCGATCGTATGGCTGATGAATTTGAGAATGTCGATGCATGCACTGTTCATCGTGACGATGATGATACTGACCACAAACGACGTACTGCTGGATTTTTGGCTATCGTTTCCAATTGTAATGTGATTATGGGGTGGAACGAAAGCGTTCGTTCCGAAGGAATGCGTCGTACCACTTATCAACTACTTAAATTACTTCGTCTAGGAGGAATATTACCACCTGCTGCTGCTTACGATTCTGCCTGTACTTTCGTTGCATATTTAAGAAACCAATATGGCGTATCTCTAATGTCGTCTCCTTATATTGATGAATTACTACAAAAAAAATATTGTGTCGATAGATTTCATCGAAGAAATCACACTAGGCCTGAATGTAAAACTATTCTTTCATGCCCCCATCCCATTAATCAGCCATTTTTTGACAATCAAAACACTCAGGTTTGTGAACAACTGTTTTCGTATTTTACGAAACTCAAAGTAACATTAAGATCTATCACGTGGCCATATTCTAACATTTTCTATTGCATCGTTTTTCATTTACGAAACTGTCTCCATACACAAATCATTCCAGACAAGCCTTATTTAGCTATTTACTCAAACATTCCACCACCGACTGGTGAATTATTGCAATGGACTAAAATAATGGTGACACAGAAGCAGCTTTCTCTTTGAGTCGTTGATTAACATATCTTTTGTTTCATTTAGGCTTCTAGTAGTTTTCAAGTGCACAGGCAAAAACAGCCAGAATATGAACAAGAAGATGACGATATTGAACCGGTGATTATTCTATTTCTAGGTTATCACTCATTTCCCCACTTTCGTCACTGTGTATTATTATCTGTATATCCGATTACAGTGCCATGTTATTGTTTCCTTTAAAATGTCAGAAATATTTGCTCATTTGATTGAATACATTAATTTTACTCATGAAAATCGAATATCATGATATGAGCGCCAAATTACATGGTAAAAGACCAATTATCTCATTACTACGACATGTCTTATGTTAATCGTATGTACACACGCAACTATGTGCATTTAATTTAATCTATATTTTAATTAATTATTAGCTTTGTTTTCGTCATTCAAATGCGTTTCTCGACATCAAAATTCGAGAAGATAAAATTAATAAATCGTAGATAAAAGTAGATATTTTCACAGTAAAACATGGTTTGATATAAAATCTAATACATGATATTATTTCGAGTGAATCACTATCATCACACATTTGCTTCTTTATATAGAACCAACTATTGCTCGCGTATAACGAAACGTAAATAAAGCTGCGAAAAAGAATGCACTTTTTACTTTTGATTATTGTTATAAGTTTTATTTTAAATAAATTCATTAGTAGGCAATCAGAAGAAATTATCACGAGAGGTTATAACCTTACCAATGTGTTTATAAACGATTGTATTTATTTTTTTATACTACTTTTTATTTTACAATCAATGGGTCAACAGGCGTTTCAATCATTAGTCTTCTTTATCTATCGTCATTTGAAATCTTTACATTAAAAAATCTGATTTTGGAAAACAGGTTCTCTTAAGTTCACGAACAGATTTTACTTTTCGCACACCTCATTTTTCACCATCATATTTATTTGGATTTGTTGACTTTGATTTACTATGAGGAAATAGTATTACACAGATAAAACTGAAGTGATATCTAATTTCACATTCACATCGACGTGAACTATTTACATATTTAACTGTTTAGTTCACTAGTATTCACGTAGTGTTCAATCTGTTACATTCTTTAGAATTTATTTAATTTTTACCCAATTATTCTTGTTACTTCTATTCATTGATTTTTTAAAAATACTATTGAACGGCCTAATAACTAATCAGAGAGACAATAGAGGACTACTTAATGCATACTAAATGCATTGACCTCCAATTACGGTGTAGAATACACAATCATGTGTCTTAAATGATGGACTCATCTGCTAGCAGAACACAAAGAATAAGAGAGCGGAAACAATCCCAACAATGCGAGACATTTCGGTGTAAAACCTTTCCCAATTGTCCCAATTCATCTACAATATCTTCTGTTCTTAATACTATTCTATTTCCTTGTATGAATTCTTCATTCTCAGATCTGTTTATTGAGAAAATATCAACTGAATATGTGTCTAGCGATAATGAAGTCATTGATGACGGTTCATACCAAATGCCTCTTCAGTAAATATTTGATTATTTATTTATTTTTCCTCTATTTAAGACATGTTTTTTATTCCCGAGCAAATATATTTTTAAAACAGAACAAATGAACAGTATTCAACTGAGTTCTAGCGGAACTAGAATTCTAGCGTTTTACCCGAATTTCCAAAACATTTGTATCCTAAGTTCTAATGGTGTCAACAGTGATGGTGTTTTGGTCAAACCAGATTTCAGAACTTTATTTAACTAGACTTTGCTGGGTGATGTATATTCTGTAGGGTGATCTTTTATGTGAATACTTTACGAAGATTCTAGAGCGCAAATTGATCAAATTAAAGTTTCTCACAATATTCACGATCTGGCCGGACGAAGCACAAGACAGAATCTAGTTAAATGCTGAATCAGAAAAATATAAGTTCTGAAGCCTAAAATTGGGGAAGTCCGAAAAATCGGTGTTTTTCTGTAGAGAGGGTTGTTGAGAGCCTTTCAGTATTTCGTGGTTTTCTCCATCAAGAAAGGGTTTTTAGAATCTGGAAATGTGTTATTTGTAACCAGCTTGAGACGGCAAACCTGAATATGTATAATAAAGTCAAAAAGAAACTTCACTTGAAGTTTGGATTTCGTGCACCATATGATTTTTGTGTTTTGCTTTTGGTATAAAGTATCCATTTCTGTTAGTCAGATGAACCATAGTATGGCGTGGCCAGCTAACGGTCCACCTTCGGATCAGAAGGTTCTAATTTTTGTTTTAACTTGAGCAGAGCTTAAAAATACATCATTAGACGCAGTTTTTCACGATGATTACAAATCTGCACTCAAAACAAATGAAAGTCAAATCTTTGTGATGAAAATTTAAATTTTTAAATTTTAAATTTAATTTCCTGATCAGACATTTTTCCAGAACTTCTGAAAGCTATATCGTCGAATAGAGAATCAAATTCTCTACCAAAGTGCTCATTTGGTTTGAGACATAGGCAATCGAGTACACTAAACATCGTGGCAACGTTTGCTTTTGTCCAAAACTTGTACAAAGTTCGTCAGAGCCCTTTTCTGAGTCTTTTGCATATAGATAGCTAAACTTAAAAGAAATATCTCACTCATCTTACGTCAGATATTGATCAAATTTTCACGAAATACTCAAAATACGATGCCAAATAAGAATAAAGCGGAAAAATCTATCAGCTATGACTTTTAAAGGTGGAGTTTTTCAGGAGGTTTCTAGAAATCCTTCAGGCTTTAAAGTATTTAGATCTATTTTTTTTGTATCGCACTAACAACTACGGTTATTGATGAGTTTAGCTCGAAAATTTGATCAATATCTGACGTAAGATGAGTGAGATATGTTTCTTTTAAGTTTAGCTATGTATATGCAAAAGACTCAGAAAAGGACTCTGACGAACTTGGTACACGTTTTGGATAAGAACAAACGTTGCCACGATGTTTAGCGTACTCGATGACCTATGTCTCGAGTCTTTTCGAAGTATCCAGGTTTGCGTGGACCGAGATAATATAGTCATCGGGGAACCTGTCTAGTAGTGGCGTAACCAAGGTACGGCGGCCGCCGTACCTATTGGTACTTTCGCCGTACCCACTGCAGAATTTTTTTGAGAAAAATTTTGTGTTTCGAAAAATATTTTTGTCACTAAAGGCTGAAAAGAGAGGAGAGGAGAAACTAGACAAGACAACGGAGGAAGAGAAAGGGAGAATACAAGGAGGAGAAGAGAGACCCATACATTACACGTGGTCACTAATGATTTTTCTTTAGTTACAGAAAAGCGGCAAAATCAGTTTTGAAATGGTCATGTGCAATGTGGTGTGAGTGTCTCTTGCCTTTTATTTTTCGCGTTTCCCTCTCGCTCTCGCTTGTGGTGTTATATCTTTGAACTCTGCTCTCTTGTCAGCCATGTGCGAGAACGCAAGAAAAAAAAGCGATCTCGCGTCGTGGTAAGTTAGGTACAGAACGAAAAAAATGACAGCGAGAGACTGCATGTATCATTTTCTTTTCATTCTGCCGCTTATGGACACTGGTAAATCTTGAATAAGCTTTAATTTAAGATGGCCGAAGGAAAAGAGACACCGTTGTCAAAACCACAACGTGGATCATTAGAATTCCTGTTCGATAAACTTTCAAAGAAACAGAAAGTGGGCGAAACATCTTCATCATCCACTGATTCTTCACAGACTTCAGCAAGTAACTTCTCTTCTACTGCTCTTCTATCTCCTGCCAAATCTCTCAACTACTCTTCGCCGCTTTCTCCTGCCGAAGCAAGTGTTCCTTCGTCCAGTGATACCGCATCCACGTCGACTTCTACCTCATTGAAACCTGCTTCAAATGAAATACCGTTAGACATCAGTCAATCTGGCGAAGTTCCACCTGTGCTCCTAAGATATCCAACCGACAAGTGGAATCGAAGCTTCCTTTTAAATGGTATTCTCTTTTCTGGTGGCTCAAATACTCCGTGCAAAACGATTCGGCATACTGCTTTTACTGTAGACACTTCTCGCACAGTTCAAATCAGAATCCAAAAGTACGAGTTTCTTGATTTACAAGAGACGGTTTCTCATCTTCATCTCTTTTAGAATCAACAAAGTGATGTATTTCTACGTGGTGGATTCAATCGGTGGAAAGATGCTAATACGTTGAATCGAGGCTTCTCCCAACATGCATCTTCATCAGGCCATAAACACTCTTCTATTAACTACAACGAATACAAGAAACGAACATCCTCTCAGACAACGATCTTGAATGTGATGGATAAAAGCCGAGCGGAGTTGATTGCTAAGAACAAGCAACGTTTCACTAAGATCGCTTCAACTGTACTGCTATGTGCTCGTCAAATGATTGCCCTACGAGGCCATGAAGAAGATGAACTGGGAGTCTCTTTTGTTTTTCTCAATCGAAAAAAGGAAGTAATTTATTTTTCTTTCTCAGGCAGATCTTCGAACAGAGAAAACTTCATCGAAATTCTCAAATATGCAGCTGTTACTGACCCTTTGGCAAAGTCTGTTCTCGAAGATAGCGCTGCCAGTGCAACGTACTTGAGTCCCACTGTTCAGAACGAATTGATTCATCATCTGGGAACACAAGTGAGAGAACGTATCGCTGACAAGGTATGCGCCGCTCTCCTCTTCTCTTCTAATTGCTTATATGAAATTCTCTTAAGGTACGAGATCGACTGTTCTGCCTCATGGCCGACGAAACTCGAGATATCAGTGGTCAAGAACAATTGAGCATCGTTTTGAGAGTTGTCAATAATCAGTCGACATCATCTACTCAACTCAAGAAAGAAGATCTGATCAAAGAACATTTCCTTGGCCTGACGAAGTTGGACGCCTCTGACAGTCAAACTCTGAGCGATGAAATCGTCCGTGTTCTCGAGTCACTGCACATTCCCATATCGAAATGCATTGGTCTTTGTTTTGACGGGTGAGTTGAAGTTCGAAACGACTCTTCGAATTGAATTATAAAATTCTCCTCTCCTTTCTCATAGGGCGTCGGTCATGAGTGGTAGACACTCAGGCGTCTAGCAAATTCCTCGAGAGAAATATGCGCTCTTTGCCATATATGTGCACTGCTTTTGTCATCGTTTGAATCTCGTCATCTGCGATGTTACCAAAAATGTGCCTTATCTAGCCGAATTCTACAGCATCATCTCGAGCATCAACACTTACTTCTCAACGTCCAGTGTCACGAATGAGCGATTCAAGAAAGTACAGGAAGAACTAAAACTTGGTGGGCGTTAACTACGGCTGGATGGGCTACTCTTTTCTTCTTCAACAAGTTCAGAATATGTGACTAATCTAAGTGGAGCTAATTTACTGTCGTATCTTATTCAAGATATTTCTTTGTTTCAAGTGGTCTTTATTAGAGAGAAACTAAAAAAGACAGCCTTCTCTTCCAGTTTTCTATACACTTTTTTTCGTAGAGAATTCTAAGCAAATGGTTTTAAATGAATGTACTTCTATTTCATTTGTATGTTACACTCTCTCTCATTCTTCTCTTGATTAAACTCTGTCAGATCAACATCGCTGAAACGTTGGGGTGAAACACGCTAGGATTCTCGATGGTCTAGTATCAATTCGATTCTTCAAAATTTCACACCATTACTACAATGTTTCACCGAATTTGAACAAGAGGGAAGTGGACGATCACCTGAAGCGAGAGGCCTTTTATCAGCAATGAAAAAGCCACTCTTCATCGTTACTCTCCACATTCTTCATCGCCTCCTTGGAATTATCAAAGTGGTTTCCGATGTTTTGAAAGGTAAAGTAGAGAGAGAGAGCGAAAAAGTATTGAGGAGAAAAAATGATGACACTTGTTCCTTTTTTTTTTCTCACTCTTTTTAAGGAAAGCAGCTGGACTTTTCGAAAGCGAATCTACGCATTCAGTCGACTATCGCCCAGTTAAGTGATCTTCGAAATTCGCAATCGTTCAAAACGATGTACGATGTCGTTTCGAAATTCGCTCTTGAACAAGGAATTGACTTCTCTGTAACACCCCGTCCTCGTCGAGCAACGACTGTCTCTTCCCGCTTCAAGAACACAATTGGCGATTCAGCGATAGGCTATCGAGATGTTTTCGACAATGAGCAGAAATATCGATCCACCATCTACTATCCTCTTATCGACTCGATCTTATCGAATTGAATGATCGATTTTCGAACAAAAACTGTGATATACTAAGTGCCATCTCGGCCTTGACTCCCGATAGCTCGAATTTTCTCTCTTCTAATGCCATGAAACCTCTCGCAGATATGTTACAGTGTGATCCTTCCCTGCTCCACAACGAAGTTAGTGTCATTCGGCCGATGATGAACAGTACCAAATCAACTACATTGATTGATCTCTACTTCGAACTTCTTCCTCTCCGACAAGCCTTCCCTACCGTTCTTTCTCTTCTAACCGCTGCCATCACCTTACCTGTCAGCTCGACCATCTGCGAAAGAACCTTCTCCAAACTGAAGCTAATCAAAACAGCTACGAGGAACGGTATGGGCAATGAACGTTTGTCCGATCTATATCTGCTAGCCGTGGAGCGTGAGATGGAAATTGACTATGATCAGTTGATTTCAGTTTTTGCCATAGAACACAAGAACAGTCGCATTCTCTTGAAATAGTTTCGTGTGTATGTTCGTGTACTTCTTTCTCACCTGTGTTCTCTGTGTATGATTCGAAAATTAACACTCGACAAACTACACTGCTACTAAGAAATCGGAACTTCAAAGTAGTGGCAGTAATACAGAACATTGAAGCCATCTGATGAGTTCTTTAAATCAGCATGAAAATCGCCTTTCTTTTTCTTCTACCATTTTCTTCTGTTCGAAATCACTGTTGAATTTGTTTACAATCACGAATGAGTTGAGTCGAAACGTAAACTCCGATGCTCAAACCTTTTACCAATTTGGAGAAAAATGCTTCTTCTAATGGAAAATCGAAAGGATCGGATCTAGCAGTTCTTGAGGAAATTCCTGTGGAAAACAGCAAAGTCCTGTTGGAATCCTGTGAGAACAAGTGAATAGGTAATTCTCGTAAAGAAGAGAAAATTTCAGGAAACTGCTAGCAAAGTACCAGAAATTACTAGCAAATTCTACTAAATTCCCGTGGAAAAGAGCAAATTCCTGTTGGAATCGTATGAATATAGAAGTGAATAGGTAATTCCTGTTGCGAAGAGAAACTCCCAAGAAAATGTTAGCAAATTCTAGCAGTTTCCGAGGAAATTGCTAGTAATTTCCTTGAATGTATATGGTTGTGCGTGGGTGAGTTAGGAGCAATTTCCTGATTCATGGATAACGTTTCGTTATCCTAATTCCTGATGAAAAAGTATGAAAACTTGGTAGTTTTTGTTTTTAATGTAAAATAGTAGAGAAAGGAAATATGAATCCACTCAATAATGCATGGTTCTCTTCTGTCATTTTTTTACATAGCTGGAGCTAATATCGAAAGTGTGTGTGTATGAGACAGCGAGTGTATAATGTATGTAAAAAGACACGCAGGTCGCGAGCCGAAAGACCTGACAAATGCGTCCGTATCGACACATTCATACTTTTCCTTTTGACACATCATTTTCGAATATAGTTTTCATTTTATTTATTTAAAAGATTTATATATACTTGTATTCAGAAGCAAAGTAGTGTGTAAATATTGTAAAAAGGAGTAACTTTGAGGTCTCACTCTGTTCCGCTTTTCTTGTCATGATTTCTCCATTTTTTACACATGAAGTCATTCCACGTCAAAACTGCTTTTTAGAATACTGGGCCACTTGAACAGTAAATTGTTCCTCTTTTCTTCAATGGGTACGTCGATTACTCTTGTGTTCGATTGCGATCGCGGTAGCACACTACACGTAATATAACGGTAAGGAGAAAGCTGAATCATAACTGCGGACAAATACGACGCTATGGATGAAAAAAGGTTACATGATATTTACTATTGAAAAAACAATTCGCTTGTTAAGGGTCTCTTACTACTTCATTATCCGAGGAAGCAAGAATTGTATATAAACAACCCAAAATGCTTTATAATATTATTAATATTCTGAAGCATAGTTTCTAAACTGGCCTCCCTCATAAAGTTACTTCTGCTTGTCCTCGTCTCCTGCTGTTGTCTTTTGCCAGTTGTTCACACTCTACCACCAGCGGATTGTAAGAACCAAGGCGGTGGTAACTACGGTTGTTTCAACCGAAGTACAGAAGCTTACTGTACACAAGTTGGTATTTTACCTCCATCAGGTGAAGATCGTTGGGCTCTTGCTGGTTTAGATCTCAATGTTGATTGGGTGCTAAAATGTGGTAATATTGTTGCATATAAATTACAGTGGTTTAGTGGCGGATGGAGTGATTGGTATGTTCCTGGCGTCAACGATATGGATGACAAAGTGAACGATGAAAATGTTTTGAGAAGAATGTGGTCGTATTTCGATGATCATAACCATACGTTTATCATCTGTAAGAATACTCATTATCAGTTGGCTAATTATGAAGGACATTGATGAACAAGTCGCTCATTGTCTCAATCTACAACTCTTTTCGTGCTTTGATAAAATTATTTACTCTAGGAATTACAGCGTGTATTTTTCTAATCATTTTTAATAAACTTTTATAACTTTATGTAATAGACAAGTGGGATATTCGCTGGATATGGTCCACCAAGAATGAGACATTTTTCTTTGCTTATTTTTTTGGAGAATGTATCCAGAATTCCAGACCTCCGTTCCAAACTCATTTGGCAGAAAATGATTTGCACTACAAAACTGTCGGCTTTGTTTTGCAAATAAGTTTTTCTCGGTTGCCGAAAAATTTAAAACGAAGCAACTATTCAATTGCTCAACCGCGACGGTTAAAAACCGAAAATTACGAAATTAAAGATCTAGATAGAGCTGCCATGCCCGGTTTCGTCTTTGCGTAAGGGACCCATCAGATGACTTCAATGTTGAGTTGTCTGTATGATTCGAAAATTAACACTCGACAAACTACACTGCTACTAAGAAATCGGAACTTCAAAGTAGTGGCAGTAATACAGAACATTCAAGCCATCTGATGAGTTCTTTAAATCAGCATGAAAATCGCCTTTCTTTTTCTTCTACCATTTTCTTCTGTTCGAAATCACTGTTGAATTTGTTTATATTATTTGTAACACTGTATTATTAATTTTTCAGCTGATGTAACTGCTTTATCTGTTAATAATGTCTGGTTAAATTCTAATAATTCTTTGTCTCAACTGATAAAGTACCGTTGGAATATTGTTTTCTTGGATATATTTCTGATAAAACTTGTGGTATCACACGCGGAAATGGAATGTAATATTGAAAGAACTTTTGAATTAACTTTGTGTGCTATGTTCTATGTTAAAAAACAGATTTTTCCGACCTGTTTTTAGATAAAGCGATACTAACGAAAAATATTAGTTTGTAGCCTTACTTTTGCGATCGGGGTACAATGAACATATTTTTTCTGCTGTTTTGTTTTTTGTGTATTTGTTGTTTGATCAATTGTCATGCATAAACCAACAAAATCTAATGAATATGCAATGCTTGATAATAACACGTCTGCATCAACTGATTCGATAATAACATTTTTGTACAAATTGTAATCACTAATATTTTGTATGTGAACAAATACACGTGTGTCAAATTCAATATGATTCGATGACAACAATAAATCTTTTTTACATATAGTTTTTGTAAGTGTATAACAATCTTCATCAGGACCACCAACGTAAAATAATTTTCCAGGCGGAATCATTGGATGCATTTTCAACCAGGCATGACGTACTTGTAGAGCTAATAAAGCATGATTTTCTTTTATAAATTTATCATATTCATCTCTTGTAAATGGCAATTGTGTATTCTTTGACAATTGATAAGTGTTTAATTTTTTATTAGCATGCCGTTAAGATTTTGATGTGGCAAATTACATCAATACGGTCACACATAACTATATTCTTATCTAATATTTGTTGTAATAAATTTTTGGCATACGTTATTATCGAATCATCTTTTCTTGGACGATGTTCTAATAACATGCCACCATCAATCAATACAACCGTTGTTTGATTTTCGTCACAAGGTGGTTGATATATAAAATGATTGGAATAATTCTGTTCAAAATATTCTATTACTTTACTTTTATTTTGTTGGTTCAACAAATTCATATTATCTGTTAAGATTGTGGTGTATCAGTATATTCGTATTTCAGGTAATCAATTAAATTTATCTCATGGTTGTGATTACTTAACACGACTAGGCCCCGTAATTTGGTTTCAAGTGGTTTTGCGGGTTTTTTTTCAGTGTTTTGTGTGGTAATACCGTATGTGTCTGTATCAGTTAATTTCAGTGTTTTTGTTCTTTTCATTTTACTATTGATATGAACTGATTTATCAACAAATCGTTGTTATATAAATATTTTTAAAACTTCACCGCAATTATATCCACCACAAATGCTATCAATTATATCATTATGTATAATCTTTCTAGTAAATAATTCTGTAACAACATTTTTCCTAAACTAAACACTCCTTCATCTTTCAGTTTCATCAATAATAATTTTAAGTCATGGTTGTCCAGTTCCATTCGGCTTTGTTGACATTCTATATGAGCATCAATTGAATTTGTTGACATTCTATATGAGCATCAATTGAATTTGTTCGTATTTCTATATCAGCTATTTCATTTACAATAGCTATCATCATTGTACAAAAGACTAACGTGTTACAAAACCGATCTACTGCTTGTGGACTAAATCGGCCAGTAATACCGCTTCTTCCTTTGCCTGAAAAACATTAGAAAAAGGAAAGATAGGTTATATATGAAACTTAGGACCGTTCGTAAAGCCCATTGTCTGCTGCCCACACAGTAAGACATAGTTCTACTGCTACATATGTTGAAATTTCCAGATAAAGTTACAGATCCTTACAGGGAGAGTTTATATCGCAGCAACAGGTACCATCGTTGTCAGGATTAATATAATTTTCAGTCTGGCTTAAGGTTGCTCCCTGTGAATATTTTTCACTCATAAAAGGAAGATGTACGTTTCTAAAGCATGTTAAGTTTTATACTTTATATGAAAAGATGTTTCTGAATTATTCAGCTCCGTTACAGTTGCTGATGTTGTTTTCTATAAAATGTTTTTTTATCGTTATAGGATCACGCATCCCAGATGGAATTTCTTTAGTAAAAGTGGTACTTATTGTCAATTGAATTAGATAAGTATAGAAAAGACAGCTGTTTCAAAGTCAAATGATGTTTGCCGGTTGTTTTTCGGTCTGTGTTTTTAGTTCTGTGTGTAAGATGATGCACTTATTGATGTTTCTACGAAAAATAAATGAACGAAGATGAAGTTGTTGTTATTATTAATTAACATAAACAAGTAAGAAATTTAATTTTATTAAGGGAGTAAGAAAACTGATTATTTGCGTGTTCACCAGCCGCTGCTATCTCGGTTCTGGAAGTTTCAATAGCCCTTTCATTGTTAGCATATCGAAGGGCAAACATTTGAAATACTTAAAAGTTTCATAACTCAGCAACAAAACGACCTGAAAAGCTGAACCGTTTTGCCGATATTAGAGACATCTAGAATACCTATAGAAAAATTAAGCTCATAACTCCTCCATTCGAGGAAGTTATAAAATTATTAAGTTTCTATGTTTTACTGTGGAAAAAACACAAAACATTTTTCCTTTCTGCACAATCTTTGTATTTGAAGGATTTCAGTTGTTGGGAAATACATGCGTGTATTATCTAACGAGGGAACATATTTAGGTGTTTAAGCCCTTTAGGTCCCATCTTTTGGCGATAGGTGGACCTCAATGAGGTATGAAAAACCTCAAGAGGATTTATCCCCTCGCGCCTTTGTTTTCGAGATATCGAATTTTCAAGACATTTTACAAAAATAGGTCTTTTTAGAGAATTCAGTGAGGGGGTCTACGAAAGATGAGCACGGCGAAAGTTGCGCCCCGAACGATGCAGCACGAAAACTTGCGCACAGAGAATCTTGCGCACGGATGGATTGCGCACGTAATAACAAATTCTTATTTTATATTTACACAATCCGAAGACTTTTAATTGCCATTATCGTTTATATACGTGTAATTCTGACACCTCCTAGCCTTGGTGAGGGACCTGGGTAGGTGCCGGACATTTGGGGGGTGTAACGAGAGTTTTTTGTCCGAGATAGTGTAAACTGTATGTTAAATTTCACGTTCGAGGTGGTGTAAACTCTGTTTTCTGCATAGCTACTCAGTAATTACCTTGTTATTATTCTTTTAAATTGTTTTTTTGGGGGGGAGGTTACGCACAAGTAGTTCACACAAAACCTATTTTCATAATGTCAAAATATATCTGCAACTGTATGAACTAATATCGCATAATAACTATTCACCACATAACTTCAGTTAGGTTTCATGTCGTTCGCGGAAATGTGGCTCTATCAGTTCGTCCAGTGAAGCTCGGAGATAGCAATAGTGTTACGTAGTGTTTTATGCGTAACTTGTATCCTTCTTTGTGTCAGTGCCAACAATGAATTATGTTTTTATGTTTTGTTAACAAACATATTTACATCAGAGAACGTGGACACTGAGAATTTCTAAAGTCCATAAATGGGGCTTTCTACGCTTCCTAACAATAGTTAGGATAATTATCGTAGCCATTCATTTACGAATTTTCACATTTCCATACGAAGTGATTGCTGTGTGCAAAGTACACACAATTTGCAAAATTTTAATCTAAACGAGAAATTTTTTAAATAAACGAACTTGGGAATTTCCAGATTTTACATATGAATTGTTTCCAAAGCGCAAAGAGCAAGCAATATGCTGATTCATCGACCTCGAGGTAAAATGTTTTTGAATTTTGATAGCTCTCATAGCTACTAATTTGTGTTAGCTCTCCGATGCTGAAAGCGACTAATAATCACGAGAAATGAGATCAGTCCCACGCCTCTATGAATAAGCCGAGACCAGTGTCTAGTGGGTTCTGAAGAAGCTAAACAAAATCTGCTGCGAGAGAAATCACCAACCTGTGTCAATGGGTATGAAAGCGATATTGTACCTCTTTAATATGTATTTATTATAAGCAGAAAAAAATATAACAATGAAAACAGTTTGAATATATATAAAAATGAAAAAAGAGTAAAACAAAATCTTCATAGACAGACTAGTTTATAAATAGAGAAGAAAGAAGGTCCGTCCACTTGAGCAAAGGAAAAAAGGAATAAAATGTATCTATGAATATATGTACATGCGTTAACTGAAATCAAAATATATGAAATAAGAAAGAGAGAGAAAACATTATATTACATCATACATAACAACTTATGGACTAGCACATGGTCTAACTGCTAGGACATAAC